CTCATTAAGTTTAACCATGCCAAGTGCAAGGTCCTACACCTGGGTCGGGGCAATCCCAGGCACAGCTACAGGTTGGGCAGAGAAGAGATTCAGAGCAGCCCTGCAGAGAAAGACTTGGGGGTGTTGGTCAATGAGAAAATGAACATGAGCCGGCAGTGTGCGCTTGCAGCCCAGAAAGCCAACTGTATCCTGGGCTGCATCAAAAGCAGCATGACCAGCAGGTCGAATGAGGTGATCCTGCCCCTTTATTCTGCTCTCATGAGACCTCACTTGGAGTACTGTGTGCAGTTCTGGTGTCCTCAACATAAAAAGGACATGAAACTGTTGGAACAAGTCCAGAGGAGGGCCATGAGGATGATCAGGGGACTGCAGCATCTCCCATATGAGGATAGGCTGAGAAAGTTAGGGCTGTTCAGCCTGGAGAAGAGAAGGCTTCATGGAGACCTCATAGCAGCATTCCAGTATCTGAAGGGGGCCTATGGGGATGCTGGGGAGGGGCTCTTCATTAGGGACTGTAGTGATAGGACAAGGGGTAATGGGATAAAACTGAAACAGGGGAAGTTTAGATTGGATATAAGGAGGAAATTCTTTCCTGTTAGGGTGCTGAGATACTAGAATAGGTTGCCCAGGGAAGTTGTGAATGCTCCATCCCTGGCAGTGTTCAAGGTCAGGCTGGACAAGGCCTTGGGTGATATGGTTTAGTGCGAGGTGTCCCTGCCCATGGCAGGGGGGTTGGAACTTGATGATCTTAAGGTCCTTTCCAACCCTAACTATTCTATGATTCTATGACAGTTGTGAATACTTAAGGAAAGGAGTTGGACAAGATCACTGCTTAATCCCTGCTTCACAAACTAAATGAAGATAAAGATGCACTGTATCACCAGACTAATGTCTAATGATTTTAACTGGTTTCCTTCCATTATAGCTTCAGAATAGTTTCAACACAAAGTCTATTTTGATTTTACTTTGCCTTACAAGACAAACTAAAAAGTAAATTCTCAAAGAGCTTGCAGAATTGTTTAAAAATTAAATTGTTTCCTAAAATGTGTTTTGAAAATGATAAAGTAAAATGACAAATAGCACCAGTTTCAAGCACACATTCCTGTATTATGAAAAACCATTTCCTCAAATGGCTTAGCTAGTCTATTTTATGATATGATAGATAAAAGCAGAAGGCTGCCACAGAAGACAGTGAGACGTCTTGGTTACTACACTAATGAGAATTCCTTACCTACCAAAAATGGGATCTCACAGTAAGCCAAGAACACTAAATAGCAGATGAGTATCGTCATGGAGAGGAGTTTCTTACTGCAGCAGCGCTTAGTGGAAAGGCTGTACCTGAGATCACTACATACTTTAGAATTAGCTCATTCTAATCAGGGAGCAGCTTCTCCCATTTGCAAAGCCACCTCTTCTCTGGGAAACTGAGGCAACTGGCATGCAGCTTGATCTACATACACTTCGCTTGTTAAATGTCTGCTTTAGAGTAGCGCCCAAGACAGTGCCCTGCTGAGCAGAGTAGCACTAATATTACAAACCAACTCTTATCCAAAAAAGCCACTTTAGTTACTGTTCTGCAACACGGAGTTCAAAATTCTGGTAGCTCCTACACTTAAACCTGTTAAAGTACTGTGTCATGTTTTGAGTATAATTCTGTAATGCAGTACTTTATTCCAGTCCTACCTATAAAGGTGGGCTCCCCCTGACCCCAGCCTATAATTTAAGCTACTGGCTTGCAAGCAACCTGCCATCAATATTAAATATAAATCAGAAATATTCTTTAACATGTCTATCTACATAGACAAAACCATTTTCAAAGGTGGGGCTAAGTTCAGGTCTCTGGTACTCTTCTGAAGAATGATCTTTTCATTACAGGTAAAGATACATACAGAGAGAGCTAGAAACCAGAAAAATCACAGCACCTGAATGACTTGGGACATTCCCAGCTCCCCAGTTCTACACTTCAGATTAGTTCTGCCACATTCCAAATTTAAGAAGAGCGTATTAAAAATTTTAGTTTCCTTGCACTTTTAGTTACCTGAAATATTTCATACTAATCACATCAACTGACAGCAACACTAATTCAAAGTATTAATTGACACGATTAAGGCTTTAACAAATACTTATAATCCCAGGACAGATTTTTGGTCTTTGAGGTGTGATTCTGCAAAGATTTCTAGTCAGGACTGCATTTCCACTAAGCTTCTGTCTCGTAATTAACCATTATTTGTTCTTTTCTCAACCGCTTCAGCAAGCATTAATACAGCTATGGGCACAGGGCTCTTTTTAAAACAGTTGAAAGTGACTGCTCTAGGCAAGCACTTTGTAACCATGACGATTCAAGAAGATACTTAGCAGCCTAAGTAACATTCTCACATTACATGACATCATGACTCTCATTTTGACAGGTCTTGAAAAACATATTTGCACATCTCAAGCACAAGAGACAAAACAGATCCTCTAATATTTCTACAAAAGCAGTATCTGGAAGAACATGAAGAGACAAAGCACAAGTTACATAGACTTACCTTGCTTAAATGACAAGACAACTTGATTATTTATATGGGAGGCATGGATGACAATTGCTTAGTCCTAATGGGCTAAACGGAGCTATAGGCAAAATGATTGCTCTTTGACAACTATTAGCAAACACTTCAAAAATATCTGCTCTATAGCCACTCTTCAGGAGGCAGGTATCAACTGCATCATAGAACAAAAGCCACAAAATTTATTATTGCCACTAGAAAAGTGAAGTAGTCATGCCTGTTTGCTAGCCTTGCTGCTCCATGCCATAGCAGGTAACAAGCAATGGAACCTTATCAAACACTGCTTGATGGTACTGCAGAATAGTTACCAGAGACACGGGGATGGAAGGTAAAGAGAGGAAACCTAAGTAACTGAAGGTTTTTATCAACAGGATAGTACTCCCAAGTCAAGACAGAGTTTGAGAATATAGCTGCTAACCTGGCTGATAATCAGGATCAGCATCTTTCAGAAGTCAACCATGCAAAAGTTACTTGAACTCGGGTACACAGGGTATAAAAAGCAGCAAGCATCCCATCCGTGTTCATCTACTTCTGCAGCCTCCCCAGCCACTGCCTTTCACTCAAACCCCCACAGACCATTACTCCCACACTGAGTTGTTTGCTCCAGGCACAAGAAAACTGACCTTTAGGCACTGTTTGTTTGTCTTGACACCATTATGCACTTGTTACTGCCTGCACAGCTGTCAGGAGAAACAGGCCCCTTCAGTACCTCTGCTAAAAGAGGCCATTAATTCAGATTAATTCATTGTGTAATAAAAAGCAATTCACTTATTCACATGGAGTTTGAATTCAGTTAATACGAAATTATCAACTTAAAATACAAGTATCCATTGCACTGAAAGTAAACAGAATTTACAAGAACAACAGGACAAGAACAAACTACAAACCAGATTCCAATATAATGACATTAGGGCTTGTTCTCTGTATCACTTGTCCACTTCTGCTCTACTAACAAGACAGTTCTATTGCTTGTGGAGCCTGGACCCCAACACTTCCCAGAGAAGCAAGCCATTTTACCCAGCATTTGGTCAAATAACAGTCAGTGCTTAATCAGTTAAGTTACAGCTGAAAAAAACTTGAAGCCTGAAAAGGGCATCAGATCACATAATCTGTGTATTATCCAGGATTTCAGTGTACATATCCACGCTGTCCCATCATTACTGCTTTGATTTGATCAAAATGCCTCAACTGCTCTTCTATCCAGATATCTAGTACCACTGCACTGACAGTTAGAGACAAGCTTTAGAGTTTTAAAGGGTGACCAAGAAAGAGCATTGTCTGGCCAAATTAAGCTTTCCGTTCAGAGTTTTTGTAAAGCATTCTAAATAAATCTTTAAACTAGACATTCCTCCACAGCATATACATAACACCAGTGAAAACAGGACAGCTACAGTTTTCTCCAGGCATGCAAAACAATCAAGTTAGCCTACTCCAAGAGGTGTTCAAACAAACAATTTACTACTAAAAATCTAATATAACAAACTTATTTACAATAGTAGTCTGAAAACTTTTCTATTCCTTAAAATATTTAATACAGGAAGTAAATGAAAAAACTCTTACAATGGTAAATTGGTATCATCTGATCATAAGCAAAAAATCTACATTCAGTGTATAAGGCCATAAGTGATTAAAGCAATAGACAAAATTATTTAACAAGTCTGCTACAAGTGAATAAGTGTAAAGATGCTATTGCCAAGTAAGATTGAGCTGTTGCTATTAAATTCTCTGCAATGAAGTTATTTTCAGCAAGCAAATCACTTGCAAGAACCACAAGTCTGGTTCCCAGTTATGTTAGTTCCTGCTCTCAGCTTTGATAACTTGAGTTGGGTGTGGGGGAAAAGAGAAGGAAGAAGAGACAAGGGGCATTTAAGGCATCAGAAAAAAAAAAAAAAAAAGAAAAAGAAAAGACCAACTTGTCCTGAAAATCATTGTTCTGAGGATGTTTTTGAAAAAGCAGGCATTTCCCTGCACTCACAAGAGAAGAGAATCCCAGAACTACAGAAGTAACATTTGGAGAGTTCAACAAACAAAATGCTACTGCAGGCTGAAGACTTAAGCTTTGAAAAAGGCAAGGCTGGTCCTAGCGCAGATACAGACTCCCAGGTCCCTTTCTCGCATGAAAATACCTAGGGGTTTTCAAGACTAAGCTTCCTTTGTTATGATCAGAATTGATTCAACAGGACTCCAGCACAAACACTAAGTTAGGCCTCCACTGGCTGTTCAGGAAACATTGTCAGTGATGCTTCATCTCACCACCTCTTTCCTGCCCTTCTCCAGATAAGGTCACACTAAGGCACCACCCTTCTCCTCCTACAAGATCTACACCGGTGAGGCTGCAGGGAGAATAAACAGCAACAGAGAGAGAACCTGGCCAGATAAAACAAGATCTCTCAAAAACTTCTACTTCAGCCGGGACCAACACCACCTCTCTTTATCCTGCAGAGATGAAACATTATCACGTATTCCAGAGTAGCCAGGAGAAGGCAGAGAAGCCTGCACAGAAGAAATCGGCCAGAGAAACCAACGCTCAAGGCCAGCTTCTCCTTGCCCACTTCCCCAGAGCTCCACTTGTAGGCACAAGTCACAGCAGCCACCCAGCTTCGCTGACTCCACCTCAGCCCCACCGGGACGCAGAGGAAGCAGCCAAACCCAGGAGAGGGGCTGCAGCCTCATTCCACCCCGGCTCCCACGCAATCCCTAAGGACACCAGTTACACCTGAGGCGCTGCTTACCGACCTCCCTCCTCACCCACAGCCCCAGCGCGTTCCGACGGCCAAGGAACTGCGTCCCGTGGTAGGGGAAGCCGCCGGGCGTTCCTCGCCTCACACACCCAGGAGGAAGAGAGCTGCCCCACACATCCAGGGGATACCTCCCTCCCCACAGAGTGGAGGGAACGGGAGCGACTTGACCGCATCCCCCGGCCAGCGGGCCCAGGCCTGCTCAGGCCGCAGCCAGGACCCAACGGCTCTCACCGCCCCTCACCGAGACAGCAAGGCCAGGTCAGTCAAGTTTCCCACATCCCGGAGAAGGGTGGGGTCTGGCAGGGTCGCTCGGAAGCGCGCGGGCTCACACACCCCTTACCCTCTTACCTGGGGACTAAGAGCCGGCTCCGCGCTGTGGCTCCAGCCTGACACCCGGCTCCGTTTTAACCGCCGCCGCCCTCCACGCTCTCATTGGGGTGCCACCACCCGCGCGCTCCCGCCGCGCACTTCCGCCCTCGTCGGCGCCGCTCCCGCCGGGCTCGGCTCCCTGAGCGCGCACCCCCGCGGAGGTCACGTGGAGCTCTCGGACCAATCGGCTTGGGAGGCGGGGCGAGGGGGCGGTGGTTGGTACTGAGGCGCGGGGTGGCTGCTGGCTGTGGGAATGGTGTTTGACATGCTGAGGGGGTCCAGCACTGCGAAGGCAGCCGGAAGGAGTAGCAGGAAGGGGCTGCACTCCCCGCTGCCGCGGGTTCTTCTGCCGTGGCTTCTGCTGCCGTTTGTGAGGGGAAAGGAGCCTGTGGGGAGCTGCTGCAGCAGCGGGCCTCCCATAGAGCCCCACTAGCAGGCTGATCCCATAAACCCTCCAGGCTCTTGTTTTGATCCAAAGTTAGGAAGGGCTCATCTTCAATACATTGCATGTTTTAGTGCAGATTCTACTGATGGATGAATAAATTAGTAATCCTGATATTGGAGGTCAAACAAATAAACGGGGGAAGTTTAGTTTAGGCATACAGAAGAAGTCTTTACTGTGAGGGTGGTGAGGCACTGGAACAGGTTGCCCAAGGAAGTTGTGAATGCCCCATCCCTGGCAGTGTTCAAGGCCAGGTTGGACAGAGCTTTGGGTGACATGGTTTGGTGTGAGGTGTCCCTGCCCATGGCAGGGAGTTGGAACTTGATGATCTTAAGGTCCTTTCCAACCCATGACATTCTATGATTCTTTGAAATGGAAATGTCCCTGCTTCTAATGGACTCTGAGTGTTTTATTACTGTGCTGCAATATTGTGTACAGACCAGTTCCAACTGCTCAGGAAAAAAAATAATGGCTACTGCTATATTTACTGCACATCTTTATTCAATCAGTCTGCAAATCCAAATTCTGTCTGGTCAATTGAAATGTTACTAATCACAGTCATAAATAGCTGTCATGTCACAAAGGAAAACATAACCTTCTCTTGCTGCTTTAATTTGGTCATTTTTTTCTAGAATTTGATGTTGACCTATTTAAATTCCACACACTGAAGTTAGATTGAATATATTGGGCAAAATCCCTCCAGAAAAACACCACTTTGCATGATAACACCCACTCTGGGAAACAATGGAAGTCATTATTACCCTTGATCTCTGGGGGGTTCAGATCCTCTGGGATAGAAGTAATAGGTTAAGTAGTTGTGTTAACTCTTTCACACTAGGCCTCTTTGTAGCCTCTTATAGAAGAGAAAGGGAAATGATTAATTACCTTCTAGCTCTATCCATTGAAGGCTGAGTGAAATTGTATTTTGAATTTGGAGAGCATAGAAAAGGCTTGGCACTTAAATGAAAACAGAAAAAAAAAAAAGGTAACCCAGCTTTATAAAAGTGATAGGTGAAACAATGCCAAAAGAAAATAAAAAGGAGGAGGAGGAATTGGAAAGAGATTTACTATAATCTGTAATTTCAGGGTTGGCAAAAATGCCAGGAATTGGAAACAAGAAATTACAGTGGCGGAAAACACCTAGGTGTCTGTGGCTCTCAGAAACATCTGAGTACTTCAGGACTGCATAAAAAGGAAATATCTCCTGATTTTTCCTGTCTTGAAGGAAACCAAGGTTTTATACATTGTTTGTAAATAAACAGGATTTACATGATCCTTGCATCATCATCAGTTTCTCCTCCTAACTCAAAACAACTGCAAAACACCAGATTTTAGTTAACCTGTTAAGCAGAAAAGTGACTTTCTCTTTTCGAGTTTATTTATAAGGAAATGTCCTGATTGCAGTAATTCTCTCTGTGTTACAGATTGTGTCAGATTAAGTACCACATCAATATTCATCCTTCATTAGAAGCTAGCAGACTGAGAGCTATTTACTATTTGATGCCATCCATGCAAAGAAGGAATAAGCAGAGAAAGAAATATTGCCAAATATGAAAGAATGTTGAAATATAGCTAACACTTAAATTACCCAAATCTTGGTATTTCTGATTATGCCTGAATTGTTTTTTAAGATAGATTTTGTGCACTTGCACATAACAAAGAAAAAAATAAAAAAGTAAAAAATAATTGGAACTGTTTCCTCTTTATTCTGTTAACTATATGTCTCCATGGCCATCTTTAATGTTGTGCAGGCATGTAGTGGGACTACTTGCTCTGATGTGACTATTCGTGGAAGAGAAATATATTTTCAGCAAATCGTAGAATCACAGAATCATAGAATAGTTAGGGTTGGAAAGGACCTTAAGATCATCTAGTTCCAACCCCCCCTGCCATGGGCAGGGACACCTCCCACTAAACCATATCTATGAGTCTATCTAAACCATCATGAGTTGAAACTACCAACAACCTGGGAAGCTATGTGTTTTCAAAGCAAACACAATCCTAGTCTGCTGCCCATACCATGGTGCTGAGACTTCCCCTTCCTCCCCAGCCAAAAAAGTGGGTTGAGAAATTAACCACATCTATCCTGCTTCTGCAAATTGTTTAGGGGAAACCTACTTCTTTGTAGTAATCCAGTCATGACAAAGAACATTTGTCTGATGCCACGTTTTGAATTATTATGCATGTTGCCTGGTATAATCTCCATGGTTACAGATATATTTTTGCTTCAGTACTTTAGGGGAAAAAAAATCTATAGAACAATTAAGGGAAGAAAATCCCTTTTCATTGTCATTTATATTCCATTTATTTTATTCCAGGTGCTTTGCAGACAATAAACATTCACTTTCTAAAAAAAAAGTAAGATTTCAGTAGAAATAGAAAAATTTATCTCCAGCTGTTGCTTTATCATTCCATAAGTTTTAAATTGCAGATTCTTAGAGATAGAGACGGTATTTTTGATGCATGCATTTAGTTACTAGCTCATGAAGAATGTAACAGCGTTGTGTGTCACTGCCAGAGTCATGAACAACAGTAAGTGTGGGCTGGCCGAACAGCAAATATATTTCCTTTGCAAGATAAGGACTCATACTTCCCTTCTGAGCAGTTCTATTCTGTACGTAGAAATGTATTTTAGAAAGATGGTTAGCTGAAACAAGAATTAGCTGAAATTAGTTCTAGAAACTAGTGATGGTAAAGAGTAAAACCCATACATATAGCTCTTTTTATTTATTTATTTATCTATCTATTTATTTATTTATGTATTTATTTTATTGTGGAAGTAATTGACAAGGAAAATCAAGGTAATGTATATAAGGCATTAAATGGAAAAGATGGTAGTAGACCCATTCCTAGTAAGATGGATAGCAGATCACCAAACCTAGCCTGAGTGCTGCAGGGAAAGGAGCAATATGTGAATTTAATGGAATCTAATGATCCAATCCCTCAGATTACCATATCCTCCACTGCTGAGGGGGAGGGAGGCTAACATTGTTATCTCCCTCTTCTTTCTGATAGATTCAAGCTAGATGTGACTGGCCTCCACATTTGTCATTTAAACCTGCACAGTGTTTGTGTAAAATCACCATCTGCATACCCAGTTCTCTTTTGAAAGTGCTTCATAACATTTCTGGCCTTTTTTTTTTTCTTTTTTTTACACAAGTGACTATGAGAGGAACAAAGTAAGGAGCCAGTTCAGGAAAGATTTGTTTGAAGAACTATAATGCCTAGGAGGCTGTAAATGATGAATAGAAGGAATCCACCTCCCTGTCCCTGCAGGGAGCATGTAATACTAGTCTCAGGGGTAAAAAGAAAAGTAGATAAGCTGAGGAGGGTCTTGAATTGCAAGGGAATCAGCACTATCTGGGAAGTCAGTCTTTGCAGATTTAGTGATGTCATTTGCAATCTCACAGTAATGGAAGTAAGAGCCAGATTATCGACTTTACTGACATCTGAATGTAGACAACAGACAGCTGAAGGATAGGTACTTGATTCACAACTCAAGTTTACGAGAGTCTGAGACAGAAGCTGTTGCCAGTAATAACCACAGAGAAATCAGGGGTGAGAGGAGAAGGAAGTGGTCCTGCCATATCTCCAGCTCTGAGGCTGAACCAAGAACACGAGAACAGGTTAAAGCAGCAAGGAGGTTTTGTCCCTCTCTGAAGGAATTTTTAGTTACACACACAGCCAGTCCCTTGTAGCACCTGTGCAGCGCACAGCAATGGTTCAGTGAAGGTAGCCAGACCCCTAAATTTTTATTAATCTATTCAATCCAAAGCCACTGTAATTTTTTATCCTATTTTTTAAACCATTTTTTCAATCAAAATGAATGCTAACATAAAACTGAGGGGGTGAGGAAAGAATGTTACCTTTGGAAAACAGAAAAAAAAAACCCACCCTTTTGGATTATCTAGAATGCTGTGAGATTCTTTTTGTTCTGTTTGGTTTTGTAGGTGTAGAGTTCAGATGTCAGAGTTAATCTCAGCTCAGATAACTTGTCAGAAGAGGTACATGTACATAGTGTGCATGCAAACAGAGTTTGTTTTAAAAAAAAAATAATTTAGTCAAAAATGGTTTTCTCTTTGGGGATGAATATCTAAGAAGAACTACATTATACAGATTATTTGTGTACTTAAGAGAATGAAGCTGACTTTGCCATGATTTATGAATTTCAGCATTCAAAAACCATAATGCAGTAAACTAAATATATCAGAAACAGAAACTAGTAAACGAAATATGACTGTGGTTTTGGCCTTGTAGGAGCTTATGCCATTTTGACTGTATCATGCACTGTTTTTTTTTTTTTATACAGAGAGCAGGAAAGCACCACAATAAAATAAAAGTTCGCTATCAAGTAACCTTTACATTTTAGATACTGCTGGGATTTGTCAGGATCACAAGGTTATTTTTAAGGATAGTCTCGCTGATACTTTGTGAGGTAAGGAAGTTTACATTGCAGTTTTATAAATGCTACACTTATGATCATCATGTTTATGAACAGCATGACACACTTAGGGCCTGATCTTGGAGCCTTTACAGAAGGAGCTAAATTTATTCTAAATATCTCGATAGTCAAGAATCAAAAGAAAATAAAAAGTCTACAGAGAGTCATAAGAGGTCAGATAGTCTTATTCCGTGACCCAAAGGCAAGATACATAAATTTTGGCATGTAATTTTCTTAAGATTGCAATATCATTATGGCTGTTTATTTAAAAGATTATCATAAGAAAAAAATCCACAACATTTACCTTAAGTAACACTTACTGCAGTTTAAGCATATTAATTAGTTGCATACTGGACATAGCAATCAGATTATTTTTTTCCTTTTTGCATCAATCTGCTAAATATTTAAAAAAAAAAAATAAAATACCCTTCTCAGAATTCTTTTCTTCCTTCAAGTAACACCTGTTTTTTCAGTTGTTTTTTATAGGTCATGTTTCCTAATTGCCAATCATTCTCTCTTCTTTGGACCCATTCCAGCTGGCCCACTTTTCCTGAAGTGCACTGCTGAAACAAATAAATTAACTAAAGCTTTACCAGTTATATGTATGGTATATAGCATACTTTAGTGTCTTACAAATAAAGTTGAATATGATTATCATTATCACACTAAAGCTGGTTGTGTAAAACCCAGAATTGTTCTGGAAATAGAAAAGGCAGGGTTTTTTTTTCCAGAATAATCTAACATTATTGAGATTCAGCTCACTGAATTGCACGGTGCTACCTTATGGAGCAGCTGCAGTTGGAGAGTAATTTGAGCATGCCTGAAAAGCATTGATGATAACAGATCTTGCATCACTTATTTTTTAATCAAATTTTCCAAATGGAATTATTGACACATGTATTAAACTAGTAATGAAAATTATTGGCTTTGATAGCAACCATCATTTCAGCAGGGTGGGAGCAACACTTCAGAAAGAAGATTTGTCAATTAAAATTGTGTCATTTTTAAGTGCCTACTTCTGTCTACTTACAATGAGGTTAAAATGTGCTTCTGCAAATTAAACAAGAACATTTTCTATGCAAACATATTTTTACACTATAAAAAACCTGCGTATTTAGTCTGCTCTCCTTATTGTTGTCAATGCAGTTCCACTTTTCTCTTTTCCATGTTTAATTGCAACATTTATCGCGGTTGGGAGCTTTGATGCACCTTTTCCATTTAAGTGTCAATAGATTTTCTTTTTTTTCCTTAAGCACCTCACAATTTATAAGAAGGCTCTTATTAATTGGGACCTGAATTTTTTTGTAGTTACTGTTATGATAGTATTTTACATATTCATCAATGGCATACCTTCTAGAATAAACTCTGATATGTCTCAGTAGCTAAAAAATCAGACTTTTCTTGCACGTACAATGTAACTTTGCACTATCATGCTGGCAAATGTTAAATTAAAGAAGGTCTGAATGTGAACTTAAATGGAAAAATCTCTTGTGGAAATCCAAGTTCTGTATGGGGTGGTTTGGATGGTGAAACAAATTGCTACAAATTTTATTTACCAAAATTCCTCTTCAGCTGCAATTTGCTAAAGATTCTTTACTCCCTGAAAGTACACAATATAACATTTCATTGTTTATAAGTTGCTGTATTTCAGCCCAGAGGTGAAAGCATCAAAAAAGTGGATAAATTGGCTATTTCTGAAAACCTGCAGTAACTTGTTCCACCAGTGAAGTTTATTTCACTTGAAAGTTTGTGTGTCTCTGAATATCCCAATGTAAGTATCGTATTGTTATGACACTACTTTGTTGTCAATTATAGAGCCTGTTAAGGACATAAGACAGTCATCTGATAATACTGCTGCATTTGAGAAAATTTCCTCTATTGAGCTGAATGTTTCTATGTTACTTTACACATCATTCTTCTTTAGAAAAGACGTTACTTGTGGTTGATAATATGGTCTACAAATAGCCTCTCCTTTTGTTTTTTTCATGTTAAATTGTTAAGAGTACAATATGTTTTACATTAGAGGATTAAGAAAGGTAATTTCAAAATAAGCATACATTATATCCCATAACATTCTGGTAACTCTATTGTATTTTATCTTTTCAGTGAATAGCAACGTATACTTACAATCTGTCAAAATAGTCAGATTAACTTTTTATAAAAGACTATTTGATAAAAGTTATTATGTCAGTAGTAAGAATTTGCTGATCAACAGATTAATACATTAATTAATATTCAACCATAACTCATTAATAAACTGTAAATTAAAAAATATAGTTTATCTTCTGATGCGATTTATATTAAACCTCCTATTCTTTTTAAAAAAGCTTGGGAGGACCTGCACTGGATTATGGGGTCCTCAATCAGTCTTGGTCAAATTATGAGATTCCCTCAGAACCTGCAACCCCACAGCTCAAGCATCTCTTCAATCCCCAAGTTTTATTATTTCATTATAATTTATTTCTGGAAAGCCGTAAAAATAAAAAAAGAAGCACCACATTAAAATAAAACCTGAAGTAATTGCCTGTCCTGGGTTCAGCAGTAGCAGTCATTTTTCTCCTTCTTATTAGCTGGTGCAGTTCTGTGTTTTTGACTCTCAGCCTGGGAACAGTGCTGATAACACCGATGTTTTTAGTTGTTGCTCAGTAATGTTTAGTCTGACCAAGGACTTTCTGAGTCTCATGCTCTGCCAGGGAGGCGGGGAAGCTGGGAGGAAGCAGAGACAGGACACCTGACCCAAATTGACCAAAGAGGTATTCCATACCACAGTACATCATGCCCACTATATAAACTGGGGGCAGTTACCCGGAAGGGCGAGATCACTGCTCATGTTGGGCTGGATATCAGTTGGCGAGTGGTGAGCAGTTGTATTCTCTTCCCTTGTTATTTCCCTTATCATTATTATTATTGGTGGTATCAGCAGTGGTTTGTGTTATACCTTAGTTACTGGACTGTTCTTATCTCAACCCATGGGAGTTACATACTTTTGATTCTCCTCCCTATCCACCCGGGAGCCGCGGGAGGGGGGGTGGTGGGGAGTTGTGAGAGAGAGAGAGAGACTGTGTGGCTGACTGAGTTTAAACCACGACATTGCCAAGAGCCAGGGCATTTTGAGTTGAGACGCTGGCGATGTGGATGTGAGCAAGCAAAAGTGCAATATAAGGTGTAAAGAACCTTTGAGTAGATAGAAAGATATATGCATATATATGTGTATACTTACATATTTTTAATTTAAAAGTTGAAGCCACTGTGATTAGGCACAACTAAAATCATGTTTAAAGGTCAAATGCTGCTTTTTCCCAAATTTCATTAGTTACACTGATTTACAGTGCAAGAGAACTGCATTATATACTCATAAGCAAATCCACTCACCCTTCTACCTAGACTAATCTCCTCAAGTGGTTTGATTATAAGCAGCACCATTTGCTCTTAGCTTTGGACAGTAATAATTATATTGTTAGAGAAGGGATGAAAACTGATCAGTTAAGGAGACTATTCTGAAAACTACTAGTGCCAGATCAGAAATCTTGAGTTGCCACATGTGAGGTGCTTGGTGGTGCATGTCGAATAAATTGTTGTCCTCAGAACAGTTTATATAGTGTAAAAATCAGCTTCATATTGAAACACCGTGATCATCATTATTTCAGTTGAACAGAAGGAATTAAATTCTATTGAAGACCTGGTTTCTGCAGGTAGCAACTGATCTCTGCATATACACAGTATAAGAGAAAAAAAATCGCATTTTTCCCTTCTGCAGAATAAAAGACTTCAGTCTGCAAACCTCAATCTTAAATCCTTATGTAACTTAATTGGTTAGGTTAAAAACTAACATTGCTCATTTGTACTGTTCCATTAGCATGCCTTGTTCATGGAAATAGATGGACAATGCTAAGCAGGTAATGTAAACCTGCCCATGGAAGCTACAACTGTAAAGACACTAATGCCACTAGCATAGCCGGTATAAATTGTTGTATCTTTATGAGATCAGGGACTGTTCAGTGTGTGCTGTAACTGTTAGGTAATATAGCTCACTCTTCTACTGGCTCCGGTTTAGAGAATAGTATGCCATCCTTCAACAGGCATTAAATACACCCCTTGCCTAGCATAAGGTAGTCTTTGGCTTGCTATTTGGGAATTTTCCTACTAGATATGGGCTCCAATCACCTAAGAAGAGGAGGAAGCTGATGTCTGGTTTACTACATGTGAGATAGATGCTGTATCCCGTAAAACCTTGAATACAAAGGATGAATCTTCTTCCTGTGATTTGGAGAAAAGACTGCTACTCACTCTTTCCTTTCCTCTTTTAATTTATGGAGAAGGGCAGGATTTACAAGATACCCTCTTCCTAAGTCATTTCCTATCAGCTTCCCACTGAAGTAGTTGGCTTGCATAGATTCCATTCAGAGAAGGCACCTGAGAGTGTTATTGAGTCTTACTGTAACAACTTATAACGTTACTTTCCCTGATGTCTGCCCAGTCCCTTTGCAAAGGTGGGTGATGGTGGGTGGTAACGTTTGTGATCTTAGCAGTTCCATTTAACAGTTAAAATTAATTTAGGATGTAAGACATTCAGGACAGCTAAGAAGCAGGTATGTGGAAATAGCTGGAAATGGGGCAAGTAAATGGAAGAAGCAAAATGTTTATCTTTTCTTGAGAAATGTTTTAAGCCACCAAGTTATTTCCTTCTAAATTTAGAAAGTATCTTTATATGGAGCAAGCCTGAAATATTATTATAGTCTTGTGGCAGCTGCCACTTCCTTCCAAGAAAGGGCAGTCTGTCATGCTCTTTGGAAAGCAAAAATTCCATGGATTTGGCTGTTGTGGCTGAAGATATCCATTATGTCAAATGCCAAATGCAGTAGTCATGTCACGTCCATGCTAGATTCAGCCTGATGTAGTTCTGCCTTTTTCAGTTTCTTTCCACAGAGCCTAAACAGTGTGACCACCTGCTGAATCTCTCTTTCGATTAGCATGTAAAGAATCCTTTGTGGGATCAACTGGACTCTTTTGACTTCTCAGCACCAAAAGCTGAGTAACAGTTTCCTTGTGGCTTTTCTCCAAGGGTTTTCTGGGGATAATCTGGGAAATTTTCAATTCAGGAAAAGATGGTAAAACTCGGGTTGTTTTCCACTTAGCTGATTTGTATTTGCTTACTTTGTTGTATGGTATTAACAGAGAGAGGTCTACGCTGCCATTTTTAAATACAGTCTGAATCATGGCAGAAAGAGTTGCAGTCTTAACCTGCTTCTACTTTTTAATTGCATTCTTTGCATGGCAAGAACCAAGAAACAAAACCTTAATGAACATACATAGAACCTTAATGACAGAAAAGCTATCTGTGTCTTAGTGTACTGAAACTTTTTGTAAGAACCACAGCTTTCTCTGGGCGAGGAATTCTAAAAGGAATTGTAAAGATGAGCTCATTTC